ATTCATCTGCGAACTTCAAGTTCGGGCGGTGGCGTTGGCCAAAGTATCGTCATGGAGCTGAATTCGGAGGCCGACGAGTTGCTTCGGCGACTAGCTGACCAAGAGAAGTCCATGCAGGAAACTCTGGCCGCGCTAACCGATGCACAAACGGCTAGTTCCAAATTCCAGGCCGAAGACCTAACTTTGAAAGTCCAACGCCTTGAGAACTCTTTGAAGGCCAAGACTGAGAAGGGGGTTATCCTGAGTAAGGAGCTAGAGGCCGAGAAGGTTGCTTTTGTGGCCTATAGAGAAAAGGCCCGTAATAAGGTTCTTTCTCAGCATCAGGCCGGCTTCGCGCAGGCGGCTCAGCAGGCCAGCTACTTCGGAAGTTTCCCCCACGACTTCCATCTCAACATGACAAAGGACTTCTTCCGGGGGGAGCTTGTGGACTTGGCGGCGATCCCCCATAATGAACAAGCCGACTCCGAAGCACCGGTTCGTCAGGTAGGACCGATTGAAGAGGAGACGACCTATGAGCAAGAAGCGACCGAGGATGGTCAAATCCATGGGGAGCCCGAGGTGGGGTCTTAAGCTATTTATTGTTTTTTGCTTTGAAATTGGGGGCCAATAAAGCCTCTTTGGTGTACCTTTGGGCCGATAGAGCCCCTTTAATGAAATTTCATGTTTTTGCTTTCCAATATTGGTTGTATTGTGATGTACTCGAATAAGTGTAAATTGATGTAATAAAAGAATTAAGCTGCATTCTTGACCGACAGACATCTCGGGATGGAAGACTTGTAAATAATTGAATACTTAAGCCGCATCCTTAGCTGAGAGACATCTCGGGAGGGAAGACTTGTAAAAGTATCGTAAGTCACATCCTTGGCTGAGAGACATCTTGGGAGGGAAGACTTGTAAAAATATCGTAAGTCGCATCCTTGGGCGAGAGACATCTCGGGAGGGAAGACTTGTAAAAATATCGTAAGTCGCATCCTTGGGCGAGAGACATCTCGGGAGGGAAGACTTGTAAAAATATCGTAAGTCACATCCTTGGCCGAGAGACATCTCAGGAGGGAAGACTTGTAAAAATATCGTAAGTCGCATCCTTGGCCGAGAGACATCTCGAGAGGGAAGACTTGTAAAAATATCGTAAGTCACATCCTTGACCGAGAGACATCTCGGGAGGAAAGACTTGTAAAAATCGTAAGTCACATCCTTGGCCGAGAGAAATCTCGAGAGGGAAGACTTGAGGGTTAAAAATTTAAGAATTTAGACAATTGTAGATACTGGAATGTGTATTTATTGATGAATTGATGCCTCATTAAAAACCTTGCCGACCAAAAACCCCTTTTCACAATTTTATAAGGAGAAAAAAGATCGGTCAAGGAAAATAGTGCACCATATTACATAGACTTGACATGTAAATACAACATGAATTCACTAACTGTAATACATCTTCAGATGGGTCGAATTCCCTGTTCTCAGAAGAACCTTGCCAGACAGTTCCTCTAGCTTGTATGCTCCATTGTTAAGAGTATGCTGTACTTGGAAAGGGCCTTCCCAGTTTGCCGATAACTTTCCCTCAAAGGGATTACGTCTTGCTGACCCAGTCGCTCTCCAGACTAGGTCACCTTCATGGAAGCTTCTCGGCTTCAAATTGGACCTGAAGCGCCGACTCATTCGTTGCTTGCATGCCTCGGCAACGATCTGTACCTTTTCTCGTGTTTCGACCAAGACATCCAGCTCAGCTCGGAGTGAGTTGTCATTGGACTCCTCGTTAAAGTTCTGCCGTCGGAATGATGGCTCGCCAACCTCAACCGGAATCATAGCATTCGCGCCGTATGCTAGGCGAAAGGGTGTTTCCTTGGTGGTTGATTGGGGTGTACATCGGTATGCCCAAAGGACTTCTGGTAATTCTTTGGCCCATGCTCCCTTTGCTGAGCCTAGCCACTTCTTCAACTCTGTCAAGATTACCTTGTTGGCCGCCTCAGCTTGTCTGTTTGATTGAGGATGTTCAACCGACGTGAAACGATGCCGGATGCTGAGGTTTTCAAGAAAAGAATTGAACTTCTAATCGGTGAATTGAAGCCCGTTATCGAAAATGACAGCATAGGGAAGGCCGAAGCGAGTGACTATATTCTTCCACACAAATTTTTGGACGTTAGTGGCCGAGATACAAGCAAGCGGTTCGGCCTCTATCCATTTGGTGAAGTAGTCCACAGCCACTAAGAGGAACTTGACTTGTCCCTTTACTACAAGAAAGGGGTCGAGTATGTCAATCCCCGATAAGGCGAACGACCAAGGGGAGTTGATGCTATGCAATTCGGCAGCCGAGGCGTGGATGAGGTTCCCATGCTTTTGACATTGTACACACTTTTTCACATAATCGGCAGAGTCAGACTTTAGGGTCGGCCAATAATAACCGGCTCTCAATACCTTTGCTCCTAGCGTTCGCCCTCCTAAATGGGATCCGCAAATGCCTTCGTGGATTTCCCGTAGGACGTAGTCGGCTTGTTGTTGGTCGAGGCACTTTAATAAAGGGGTGGAGAATCCCCTTCTGTATAGTTCTCCCGACACGATCGAGTATCGTGCAGCCTGTGTTATCAACTTCTTCAACTCGCTCGGATCGGCTGGTTCCCTGTTATGCACAATGAAGTTTAGTATGTAGGACATCCATGATTTTGGTGGTTCCTCAACCGGCATGCATTCTTGTGTTACACTTGGAGAAGGCAGTTCAAGGTGGATGGTGCTACGCAATTGTCCCGGTTTTCGGTTGCTGGCGAGTCGTGCCAATTGGTCGGCTCATTCGTTGTTATTGTGAAGAGTGTGACGTACTTGTATTTCATTGAAACTATCACGGAGTCCTTGGAACAAGTGGTAATATCGCAACAAGTTTGAGTCTTTGACCTGGAAGTTATTATTAACCTGTTCGGCCACGACCTTTGAGTCGGTCCAACATATCATTTTCTTGACTCCCATTTCATTCGCCAATCTCATTCCAGCAAGTAGGGCTTCGTACTCTACTTGGTTGTTGGATGCCCGGAAACCGAAACGCAAGGATTGTTTGACTGTGATACCTGCGGGGCTTTCCAAGATCACCCTGGCCCCACTTCCCTGGGCATTAGAGGACCCGTCGACGTGCATGGTCCACGACTCGCCTTCAAAGCATCCTGGTGGGGTTAATTCGTTCACGAAGTCGGCCAGGTGTTGGGACTTGATAGGACCTCTTGGCTCAAAAGACACATCGAACTCCAAAAGTTCAACTGACCATGCCATCATTCGGCCAACAATCTCGGGTTTTCGGAGTACCTTAGCCATCGGGCAATCGGTTCGGACAATAACTTTGTGGCTTTGGAAGTATTGTCTCAGTCGTTGCACAGTGTAGATGAGCCCTAATGCCATTTTTTCTAACAGTTGGTAGCATCGTTCGACTTCCTGCAACGTCTGACTGACAAATTATATAGGCTGCTGGTTGTTCTGGTTTTCCTGGATCATGACGGCACTCACAGAGTTGCCTGATACTGCCAAGTAGATGACCATATCTAGGTTGCCGACCGGTTTTGATAATATTGGGGGTGTGCTTAGGCGTTCCTTGAACTGCCGGAAAGATTCCTCACACTCCTCAGTCCAGCAAAACCGCTCTGTCTTCTTAAGTAGGGCGAGAATAGGCTTGGCTATCTCGGCCAAGCAGGGAAGGAATCGGGACAGTGAGGTGAGCCGACCCAATAACCTCTGAACCTCTTTTAAGTTGTTGGGGCTTTTCATATCCAGGATGGCTTAGTATTTGTCCGGGTTTGCCTCGATCCCTCGGCTAGACAGCATGAACCCCAAAAATTTTCCGCCCGAGACTCCAAACACACATTTCTCGGGGTTAAGTCGCATTTGATGTCGGCGGAGTCCCTAGAACACATCGGCTAGGTCGCCAACGTGCGTGGAAACGTCACTTGACTTCACCACCATATCGTCGACATAGACTTCCATACTTAGACCGATTTATTTGATAAAGATTTTATTCATCAGCAGTTGATAGGTAGCGCCGACATTCTTTAACCCGAACGACATTACCCGGTAGCAGTAGTTGGTTGTTTCTGTGATGAACGCAGTCTTGTCCTCATCTTGAGGATGCATGCAGATTTGGTTGTATCCAAAGTATGCATCGAGGAATGACATGAATATGTGACCGGATGCCCCATCAACAAGTCGGTCAATGTTCGGCAATGGGTAGGCGTCTTTCGAGCAAGCCTTGTTTAAGCTGGTGTAGTCGGTGCACTTGCGCCACTTCCCATTCGGTTTTTTGACCATGACTACGTTGGCCAACCAGGTGGTATAGTGCACCTCTCGGATGAATCGTGCGTCCAACAGCTAGCCCACCTCAGCTTCGATCGCGACCTTCCTTTCGTCGCCGTTGGGCAATCGGCTTAGCCTCCTTGCTAATTAAAAGCCTGTGGCAGAGGAAATTTGGGTCGATGTCGGGCATATCTGACGGATGCCATGCAAATAGATGTCTGTTATCCACGATCACTTGTTCGTTCGACAGCCTTTCTTGTTCGGACAAACTGGATCCCAGGTAAGTAACTTGTGACTCAATTGCTCCTATCTGAAGCGACTGCTTGTCTTTAATGGGCTCTACCCGTTCGTCCTGGTCTACCCGGGGGTCGAGGTCTATCGGGGATTGTTGCACTACCGAGTGAATGCGTCTCGACGTGGCCGAGGCATCCGGGACTTCATCCTTCAGGCATGGTAATCGCAAACTGGCGAAGTAGCACTCTCTAGCAATTTTTTGGTTGGCATGGATAGTGATTATCCGGCCCAATTCTACAGGGAATTTCATCACCAAGTGCGGCGTGGAGACAACCGCGCCGAGACGATTCAGAGACGGCCTCCCAAGTAGGATATTGTAGGATGTACTGGCGTGAACCACCACGTATTTTACCAAGATATCTCGGTACTCTGCCCCGTCAAAACAAAACCTGGTTGACAACCTTATATACCCCTTCGTCTTCACCCGCTCGCTTGAAAATCCAACCAAAGGTTCATCATATGGAATCAGCTCAGCTTCTGGAATGCCAGTTGTTTGAACGTATTCCAATAAAGGATGTCGGCCGAGCTGCCTTGGTCGACCAAGGTTTTTCACACAATACAATTGTGGATTTCAACGTTAATGACCATCGGGTCGTCTTGTTCTGGGTCGATGCCCTTGAAGTCTGCTTTGGTGAAGGTTATACTCAGCATTCGACGATGGTGCATTCTTTCTACTATATGTACGGAGCAGACCGCCCTCAAATGTCTTTGTTGTGCAGATGTGGTCGACCCACCTCCTGCGAATCCGCCCGCGATGGTGTTAATGACCCGCCAGGGCTGAGTTGAAGGTTCCTCCTCTTTTCGGCCCCTGGATCTACTGCGCTCCCTGTATGGGCGCCTTTCGGCTCTTTCCCGCTCAAGCTGATCATGTCGGCGGGAGTGATCGGTGTACCTGGACGAAGCGGGACGGTCGACAAAACCTTGAAGCTGCCCTTGCTTGATTAAGTCCTTAATTTTGTCCTTTAGAGCCGAGCATTCCTCCGTTGAGTGCCCACGATTGCGGTGGTACTTGCACGACTTGGTGGTATCGGCCCGAGGTGGGGTCGAAGCCCTTTTTGGGACCGCCAAGACTTCAGAGGCCAGAGCTTGATCCAATATGGCCGAATGACTAGTGTTTAACGGCGTATAATGTGAGTATCTTGGCCCATGGGGAGGTTTCTCACGGGGGACGAGCTCTTTCGGTCGGTTTCGATAATTTTTCTCGGCCGGCTTCTCGGGTTTTGCAGTTACTTCTGCCCTGGCTTGGTTGCAAAACTCAGCGAGTTCCTCCATCTACATATACTTGTCGGTGCGCCGACGTAAGTCATCCATATATCGGTTGGTGGTTTCTTGCAAATGCTGTTGGCAAAAGGTCCTGGTTTGAGAGCGGTAGTGAGATGGTGGAGGGCTACAGCGGGGTTCAAGTCTCGGATCTCGAGCGTCGCTTTGTTGAATCGGCTCATGAACGTCCGAAGGGACTCTTTCTTCTCTTGTCGAATGCTTACCAAGGCCAGGGAAGTCAGCTAGTGGGGTCGGCTCGTGGCAAATTGGATAGTGAATTGGGATGCCAAGGTATTGAACGAGTCGATCGAGTTGGCTGGGAGTCGAGTAAACCAGCTTAGTGCGCGCCCTTTCAACGACGTTGGGAAGATTCGGCACAAGGCAGCGTCATCAGTTGTGCTCAGAGTGACTTGGGTTAGAAAAACGTCCACATGCTCGTCGGGATCGATCGTCCCGTCATACTTGTCCAATGGTAGGGACTTCTAGTGATCGAGGAGGGAGGTTTGCATGATGTTGGGTGTGAATGGGTGTCGGTGAGCTCCGGCGGCGTAGTGTGCAACGGTCGGCCGGGTGCTTGGACAACCGAGGCATGATTTCCCGAGGCAGCGGTGGAGGTGTGGGGGAGAGAGGTGTGATGTTCGAGCGAGTGGAATGACCCTTGGGTGTGCGTTCGGGTCAGCTCGAAGGGCTTCCATGTGGGGTCTTGGTTTTTCAGAGCGGCATTCTCTTCCCTTAAGGCGGCCATTTCTCACGCCTTTTTTTCTCGCTATTGCTTCATGGCGGCCATCTCCTCCTTCAACTGTCGTACCATCTCCGTCAGGTTCATCTCCTCAACCACCTCGACGTGGTCCTCGTCGGATCGGTGGTCCTCATTGGATTGGTGATCTTCAGTGTTTGTCCTCCTTGTCTTTGCCATAGTACTCAGTCTATCTCTTCAAAGCTTTCAGTTCGGCCCCACGTGGGCACCAAAATGTACCTGTCTAAGAGCACACTCGTAATCTTCAGATAACTAGAGGGCCGAACGAGAGCTCTGAGTAGATGCTTCAGAGGGGGGAGGTACCTGCAAAAGGCACTCCGACGCTCAAGTCAGGACAAGCACGATTCTTGAGAATAATAAATGAACAGTGACATACCTCGTTTTAAGTGACCTATTTATACTACCTTTGATGGGCCCTGAACGTAGTGGGCCTCTTCTGAAGCTTACCAAATTAGGTATTACGATGCTAATTGGCTGATTATACCTTAATCGCGCGTTTGCCCTTGTTAATCATGACCATCGCCATAATCCCTGCCTGGCCCTATCGGCTCTTTGCCGAGCCGATAGATAAAGGCTTGAGGTGTTGTTTGCCCTCGGCCTTTGACCGGGGCGACAGGTGTGTGCTGGGTCATCCTTAATCCTCGGCCTTTGTCCAAGCCGATACATAGGGGCATGTGGAGCCTTATCGTACTGCTTTGGTTTACCTTACCGTTCTCCAGTCGAGCCGAGGTTGCTATTGAGTTCTCTTAGTTTTTGGTCATATGCCGAGCTGATAGTCGAGCCGTTAGTGATCTCGTGCTTGTTAATATGGCCATAGTCGTGTTCGAGGTCCGCGTGGATGTCTGATAGGACAACACGTGTCGGTCCATGTGATCGATAGGACCCTCCCGATATAATTAGAGATATGCACAATAGAGCCTTTCAAAAAAAGAGCTCACCATAACAAGATCCAAACTCATGGTATTTGGAAAAAGAGAGCAATATATATATATATATATA